ACACACACACACACACACACACACACACACACACACACACACACACACACACACACAAAATAATAATGCAACACAAAAAACATGTGAAGTGTAAAGTGTTTTGTTTTGGAATTATTTAAATTTACTTAGCAAAGGTTCATGCGACTAATAACACTGTTACGTCAATCCCGCAGTAAAGACCAAAAATGTTTTCTGTGGCACTGTAGTTTTCTTTTAGCATGCTGCCACCTCGTGGTAAAGATTGAGTGCTTCACTTTAATAAAAATCAATAAAATCGCGTTCCAGTGTTTCTCAATGGGCAAAAGAAAAAACAATGATGTAGAGAAATATATTTCACCTGCCAATCGCTACTGAAAATCTCCCTCTTTCTGACGCCAGTGAGCTGTGCTGTTCTCCAACATTTCTAACATTCACAGCCAATGAGCTCTGCCATTGCCTAAAATTACCCATCTTTTACCTGCCAATAACTGCTGAGATTCTCCATCTTTCTGCCAAGAAAAATTCACAACCAATGAGCTTCCAAAATCTCCCATCTCGGCTAATTAATGCTGAGAATCCCCATCTTAAGGTTGCGAGGTACCCAAGTTTTAAGTGTTCTCATGCACTTTTTTATCATATTGATGATTTGCACTTATGTAATGCATTCTTTATTTACAGTAGCCTATAGTAACATGCTATGGGTGTCTCTTGATCAGTGAGTATTCTCCAGGTTCTGTAAAAATATTGTAGTTAAGACCACATTATGGGTTTGGACTCAATTTCGTAAGCATTTTGGAATCCAAACTTTACCAGTGTCAATGCCTCTCTGCAAAAACCCTTCATTTCCTCCCTCGTTGAATGATGATGCATTTGAATTTTGGTCACAAAGAGGTATCGTGACTATTACAGATTTATTTGCTGAGGGTGTTTTTGCGTCTTTTCAACAGTTAGCTGATGGGTTTGGTCTTCCATCCTGTCATTTATTCTGATATTTTCAGGTGAGGGACTTTTACAGGAAAGTATTTAATAGCTTTCCAAATATCCCACCAGACACGCCTATTGACAACATCCTTAAAATATCCTCTACGCTAAAAGGTACTATTTCCACAATCTATAATTTAATATCTTCTCTTTGTTCTACCTCAAGCCAGACGTTAGAGGCACTCTGGGCTCAGGATTGACATGTACATTCCTCCTTGATATGTGCTAGGCATGGTGTTATTCAGTGTAAACTCTTATACAGAGTTTACTGGACTAAGTCTAGATTAGCCCGTGTCTATCCCAATATTGACCCTTTGTGTGATAGATGTCGGAAAAATCATGGCACACTGATCCATATGTTTTGGTTATGTCCATCTCTGCACACATATTGGACCTCTGTATTTACTACACTCTCTGATGTTTTGCAAATAACCCTTGAGCCATCTCCACTTACAGCTCTATTTGGAGTTTTACCAGACTGTATTCAAATGTCCAAATCTAAATCAGATTTTGTAGCCTTTCTTTGTTTAGTTGCTCGGCTTCTTATTTTGATTACTTGGAAGAAATCACACCCGCCTTCTCATACACAGTGGATAAGGGATGTGTTGATGTTTTCTAAGCTGGAAAAGATACGTTACTCTGTTAATGGGTGTTTGACCCACTTTTATAGAGTATGGCGGCCCCTTTCTCATCGTATTGAATCCCTCACTTTAGAACCCCCAGAACCTCCCTTGTAAGCAGAATACTTGGGTCAAGTGTAGACTAATACTATTATGTTTAACCTGTAAAGGAGGAACATGTCTTGTTCATTAATGTCTGTGTTCTATGTACTTGAGACCTTTTTTTTGTTTTTGTTTTGCTTTGTTTGGTTTTCTTTACAACCAGTTTGTTGAATATATGTAAGAAAAATTAAATAAACCATGGAAGAAAAAAAAAATCTTAGTTATGTTCCAATCTCATGTTAATTCATCATTAATGAATCATGGCGCATGTTTTATCTCAAGCAGATACTATATTTGTTACTATATCTGATAATGCTGTAATACTTTGTGAAATACTGAAGGAACAAGTCATGAATAACACAAGTGGAATTCTGATGTCATACTTGTTCATGACGTGATGCATCTTTTATCTCAAATAGGAACTATATTTTTTGTTCATGATTTTTATCATGATTTGTACTAAGTATTTGTGCTCCATCACGTAAAGTGTTATCAGTAAATCTGCCTCCTTGCCTAATAGACAGTTGATTGATTTCTCTTTTTATGTGTGCCTTCCCCACGTTAAATGATGAAGCAGAAAAATACAACAAAGGGGACAGACAACCTTGTTTGGAGCTCGTCATGCATGCTGCTGTGGATTTCACACTAAGATGATTTGTCCTCATGTACTAAGGTGACTTGTCTTTATTTACAGTAGCCAACAATATCATGCTACAGGTCGCTCAATCAGTGTATAAGTCTTAGCACGGGTGTCATCAGATCTGATCACTATTAAGCCTATATTAAGCCTAGTCTTAAGTATTTTAGCCCTGATGCTAATCTTTAAGTCAAGCCGCAGGTAAACTTCACTCAGCCCCTGATCTTTTCAATAGCTAGAAACTCTCCTGAGCATTAGCAAATGAGTGATATAAATCTTGCTTTGTTTATTAATACAGTGTTTTTTTTCCCCCATNGATATGTGCTAGGAATGGTGTTATTCAGTGTAAACTCTTATACAGAGTTTACTGGACTAAGTCTAGATTAGCCCGTGTCTATCCCAATATTGACCCTTTGTGTGATAGATATCGGAAAAATCATGGCACACTGATCCATATGTTTTGGTTATGTGCATCTCTGCACACATATTGGATCTTTGTATTTACTACACTCTCTGATGTTTTGCAAATAATATAGGCTTAATAGTGATCAGATCTGATGACACCCGTGCTAAGACTTATACACTGATTGAGCGACCTGTAGCATGTTATTGTTGGCTACTGTAAATAAAGACAAGTCACCTTAGTACATGAGGACAAATCATCTTAGTGTGAAATCCACAGCAGCATGCATGACGAGCTCCAAACAAGGTTGTCTGTCCCCTTTGTTGTATTTTTCTGCTTCATCATTTAACGTGGGGAAGGCACACATAAAGAGAAATCAATCAACTGTCTATTAGGCAAGGAGGCAGATTTACTGATAACACTTTACGTGATGGAGCACAGGTACTTAGTACAAATCATGATAAAAATCATGAACAAAAAATATAGTTCCTACTTGAGATAAAAGATGCATCACGTCATGAACAAGTATGACATCAGAATTCCACTTGTGTTATTCATGACTTGTTCCTTCAGTATTTCACAAAGTATTACAGCATTATCAGATATAGTAACAAATATAGTATCTGCTTGAGATAAAACATGCGCCATGATTCATTAATGATGAATTAACATGAGATTGGAACATAACTAAGATTTTTTTTTTCTTCCATGGTTTATTTAATTTTTCTTACATATATTCAACAAACTGGTTGTAAAGAAAACCAAAGAAAGCAAAACAAAAACAAAAAAAAGGTCTCAAGTACATAGAACACAGACATTAATGAACAAGACATGTTCCTCCTTTACAGGTTAAACATAATAGTATTAGTCTACACTTGACCCAAGTATTCTGCTTACAAGGGAGGTTCTGGGGGTTCTAAAGTGAGGGATTCAGTACGATGAGAAAGGGGCTGCCATACTCTATAAAAGTGGGTCAAACACCCATTAACAGAGTAACGTATCTTTTCCAGCTTAGAAAACATCAACACATCCCTTATCCACTGTGTATGAGAAGGCGGGTGTGATTTCTTCCAAGTAATCAAAATAAGAAGCCGAGCAACTAAACAAAGAAAGGCTACAAAATCTGATTTAGATTTGGACATTTGAATACAGTCTGGTAAAACTCCAAATAGAGCTGTAAGTGGAGATGGCTCAAGGGTTAAGCCTAGTCTTAAGTATTTTAGCCCTGATGCTAATCTTTAAGTCAAGCCGCAGGTAAACTTCACTCAGCCCTTGATCTTTTCAATAGCTAGAAACTCTCCTGAGCATTAGCAAATGAGTGATATAAATCTTGCTTTGTTTATTAATANAGCATTAGCAAATGAGTGATATAAATCTTGCTTTGTTTATTAATACAGTGTTTTTTTTCCCCCATTTCAGCACTTCTGTAGACGGCTACTTCTGTCCTTGCGATGTCCGCCGCAACAGGCAGTGCAGGACCACGAGCCAGTTCAGTGTTCCGTAGGCCAGCAAGTTCAGGCCCCACTGCAGCAGCAATTTGAGTCACCTGTCCCAGTCATGTGCACAGTCCACTGCATCAGCATCACCCTCTGCTCAGAGCCTGCCCAGCCCCAGCTTAACTATGGGAATGGTAAAGATTGACTCTTCTTGTGTGCCACTGCCCCTCTACCATATTCCGGCCCCCAGCATCAGTACCACTTGGCACTGGCTAAAAGGAGGACTGTCGCTCCACACATTGACACTCCTTTAGCACACTCAAGGTTATCAGTACCAAGGCAAATCTGCCCAAGGCTCCATCTTCATGACGGGAAAACCTCAAATCCCTGCTGCTAAACCTATTGCTCCTGTAACCCCTCCCCGACTGAACCAAGGCACATACACAATTGCCATAGCCAGTATTATGGATATATTTATTGTCCTCATCATGCTAGCATGCTGTTTGAGCAGTGAAGGGAGGACATGTGCAGGAAGAGGGCAGAGAAAAAAAATGTATATTCATTCATTAACTTTTCATGTAGTTTTTAATTTATTACATATATAGCGATTCTACCTTGTGTGTTTTTTTTTGGCCCCAACGAGGATTGCCTCAATTTTATAAAAATCTGTAAATGAAATCAAAAAAGTAAAAAAGCCAAGTGTCTTTTTTGGTTTGGTTTGTTCCAGGTTTGGTTTGTATCCAGGTTCTGTAAAAATATTGTAGTTAAGACCACATTACGGGTTTGGACTCAATATCGTAAGTTTAAGGTTATTCTCATGGTTGGGATTTGGGCTATGTCCACAGAAATGAATGGAGAGTTCCCATAAAGATATGAATATATTTGTGGACTGTGTGATTAAAAACCTGTTACTTTGATGTAGTGGGGACCATTTTTTCGTCAATTTTATTGCCATAAAAAAAAACCAAAATGCCAAAAGTCTTGTATTTTGTTTGGTTCCTTATGCTTAAGATTAGGGCTGGGTAGGGTTATTCGGTTGTGATTCTTTGGTTGTGGAGTGCAGAGTGTTACGATACATCTCAAGAATACATGAAGTTCGTGCTGGGTCAAAGCAGTTCTCTTGGAGCACTTCAGGGAATGTTTAAACATTTCCACACAACATTCTGCAAGGCCATTTATGGCAGGATTGAATGGTGTAGATCATATGTGCTTAATTCTGTTACTCTTCATTGATGTCTAACTCATGTGATGTGAACTGTGGGCCATTGTTACTCACGAAGACATCAGGGAGGCCAAAGTGACTGAATAACCCTCACAACCACCATGAACATGTGGCCTTGGAAAGGTGTTTGCTTGTACTTTCTTTGGAGACTTGTGAAGACCATGCACATCAATGATATGGCTTAAGTACTCAAGCGAATCTTCAAGGCATTGAAGGACTGCATCCAAAATCTTAAGGTGCTGGAGAAGATTTTGTCCCATGACCAAAATGTCATCCAGATAACAGTGGACGTTTGGAAGACCTGGTCTGTGGCTTGTTGAAACATTGCTGGTGCTGTTGTGATTCCAAAAACAAGTTCATTGTAGCAGAACAGTGTCATGAATCCAGGCGGGTTTGGGGCGGGCACAAATGATGGACGACCCACTTGCAGCTCCAAGGACCAAAACGGGGTTTATTAAATGAAATAAAAGACATGAGAAAACACTAACAAAACAAAGGACCACGGGGGTCAAAAGTTCATGGGAATAGACAAGGCAAATAACAAAAACAGGGCAGGTTAGCAGAATACACATCTAACACTGAGAATCTCAAACATCTAACAATGAACCACTGGGGAACTGGACAGAAGCAGGGACTAAAATGCTAAGGGGTAACGAGACTAACACTGGACAGGTGAGGCTAATTAACAAAGACTGGGAAAACAGGGCACAGATTAAATGAATTAACTCAAGAAACTAAAACAGGGAAACTAAGGGCTAAGCAAGGAAACAGTGGGGAAAACTGACAGGTAAAAACAATCAAGAGCAAAAACCAAAACTGAATACAAATGAAACACAGGGACTAGAAAAGTGATACAATTGAAACACAAGGGAACAAAACCTACAAAACTTCAAAAGCAGAGGAGGTGGGATTCTAACATAAGACAGGGGATCACAGGCAGCCACATGCTCAATGCGTTGAGCCATGTGACTGAACAGGGAATGGGGGAAAACACAAAGACTGACTGACGAGGAGGAGGCCACAGGACAGGAATTGGATGGCAACGAGGAAGGGAGTGCAGGACTGGAGGCTGAAGAGGAGCGGACTGCAGGATGGAAACAGGAACTGGAGGGTGACGAGGAGGAGAGACCTGGGTCTGGGCAGCTGGCCCGACTGGTGTGTCCCCGTCTCCCCTTTCAGGAGACAGAGAACCGACCTGGTCCTCCATTGGGCCTCCACCTGCGCCATGCAAGGTCCACTTGGGTGGAGGCAGGAGCCTGAAATTTGGGCCTTGGGGCCAGGATGGCCTTGGGTGGAGATGCAGGGGCAAAGTCAAGGTGCACGGCCCCCTGTGGGCCAGGCGCGGGCAGAGCAGACTGTCCAGTTCCCCAGTGGTTCATTGTTAGATGTTTGAGATTCTCAGTGTTAGCTGTGTATTCTGCTTACCTGCCCTGTTTTTGTTATTTGCCTTGTTTATTCCCTTGTACTTTTGCCCCCTCGTGGTCGTTTGTTTTGTTAGTGTTTTCTTGTGTCTTTTAGTTCATTTAATAAACCCCGTTTTGATCCTTGTAGCCGCAAGTGGGTCATCCACCATTTGTGCCTGCACCATGCCTCGTCCCCGCCCCAAACCCGCCCGGATTCATGACAAACATGATCCTTTTGATGTTATGGTGGTCAGATATTTTTGAGATTGTTCTTCTACTGGCATTTGCAAGTATGCATGGGACAAATGCAACTTGCTGAAATACTGCCCCCTGTAAATGGTGCAAATAGATCCTCAATTTGCAGAATCAGATAATTCTCCACAGACAGAGTAGGGTTGATGTTCACGTTAAAATTTCCTGATGTCTCTATTCTTTTTAACAATTGCCACTATGGACATAGCCCATTCACTGAACTTGATAGAGGAGATAATGCCCTGTTCACTCATCCGGTCAAGCTCAGCTTCCACTTTTAGTCTTAGTGCATAGGGAACAACTCTTGCCTGGCTGATGATGCAGTTTCAGAGTTATGGCAGCTTCAGTGCCTTTCCAGGTGCCAGGCTCCTTTTTGTAGACTTCACTGTGCCTCTGTAGCACCCCTTCCAGCATCTCCTTGTGAACCATCTTAAATTCACACCAGTCAATCTGCATTTTCTGCAATCATTCTCAACCAAAAAGTTGTGGCAAAGCGCCTTGGATCACATGCAATGGTAGCTTAGCCTTCTGTCTATTAATTTTTACGGAGATTGTGATGAAATCACCTCACTTGTGTACCTCTTTAGTATGATATTAGCTGGGTGCAAGGGTAACTAGCACAATTGCATCTTGTACAATTCTTTGGAAATTAGAGAAACTGTAGCACCAGTGTTAAATTCCATCTCAGTTCTCTTCCATTCAATTTTTTGATTAACACAAATGTGTGGCACATTTTCTAACTACCCTCGCCTGTTCCCTATTACACGTGATCCCTAGTGTTTGGCTAATTGTTATAGCCCACACCTGTCCATCATGTAGCCATTGTCATTAGTGTATATACACTATATGGACAAAAGTATTGGGACACACCTCTTAATCATTGAGTTCAGGTGTTTCGTTCAGACCCATTGCCACGGATGTATAAAATCAAGCCCCTACCCATGCAGTAAGGTTTACAAACATTTGTGAAAGAATGGGTCGTTCTGAAGAACTCAGTGGATTCAAGTGTGGTACTGTCATATTCAATGGCCAAATGGGGAAAATACACGAGGCAGGGCCAGATGCGCACTGACACTGGGCTCTGTCTGCTACTGAATTTCCCGCTAGTAAGTGTAGCTGAATAGTGTTTAATGCACCTGAAAACTGACGAAAAACTTTCTCACTGTGTGTCCTGTGTTGTCTAGATGTGAGTGGCCTCTATACAGCAAATGATAGCATTATCCACTCTGAAATTGGTCTGATATGCGAATTGAAAGGGACCATTTCTAGGGAGAAGCACCATGCTGGTTAAGCCACTGAAAAAGACTGGACTATAAGCAACTACTCCTTCTGACCATTATGTTGGAACTGGAAATATGGAATATGATGTCTGTACTGGGAGAAAACAAAAAGCTGTCAAGTCCTGCCTGGTGTGTCTGGCCTCTTACTGTGAAACTCACCTCCAGCCTCACTATGAGTCTCCAGCTTTTAAGAAGCACAAGCTGACTGATGCCACTGGACATCTGCAGAACAAGCTCTGTTCCCACCATGACAAACTTCTGGAAATCTACTGCCGTACCGACCAGCAGTGTATCTGTTATCTCTGTATGATGGATGAACACAGAGGCTATGATACAGTCTCAGCTGCAGTAGGAAGGGAGGAGATACAGGTCAGGCCAGAAACTCTTATCTTAACTGCATATTATCTGCTCTGACTACGAACAGATTTTTCTTTTGTTTCATTTTACATAACAAGATCAAATCTGATTATGTAAAATGAAAGTAAAAGGAAAAAGCACAGAACATCCATCCATCCATTAATTTCCAGCAACTTATCCAGGACCAGGTCATGTGGGGAGCAGTCTAACCCGGATGCCAAAGATCTCCTTCTCCCCAGCAATCTCCTCCAGGTCCTCTTAGGGGATACCTCTTTTGTTTCATTTTACATAACAAGATCAAATCTGATTATGTTAAATGAAAGTAAAAGGAAAAAGCACAAAACATCCATCCATCCATTAATTTCCTGCTACTTATCCAGGACCAGGTCATGTGGGGAGCAGTCTAACCAGGATGTCAAAGATCTCCCTCTCCCCAGCAATCTCCTCCAGGTCCTCTTAGGGGATACCAAGGTCACCGGAGACATTTAATCTCTCCAGTGTGCCCTGGGTCTGCCTGGGGTCCCCTCCTAGTTGGATATACCTGAAATACCTTTACAGGGAGTTATCCAGGAGAGATCCTAGAAAGTTGGAACCACTTAAACAGGCTCCTTTCAATGCAGAGGAGCAGTGGCTCTACTTTGACCTCCTCCCAAATGACTGAGCTCCTCACCCTACGAGCTCCTCGTACCTCTAAAGCTGCGTCCAGACTCCCTGTGAAGGAAACTCATTTGTGCTGCTTGTATCCTCAACTGCATTCTTTCTGTCATTATGTAAAGCTTGTGACCACGGATGAGGGTATAAAACAGTGAGGGTAGGTACATACAGTAGGTTGAACAGTAAATCAATAATGTTGCTTTCTGGCTCAGCTCTCTCTTTACCATGACAGAAAGATGTAGCGTCCGCATGATGCTGATACTACACCAATACACCTCTCGATCTTCCCCTCCCTTCTTCCATCACTCATAAACAAGACCCCAAGATACTTATACTCCTCTGCTTGATGCAGTAAGTCATCCCAAACCTGGACAGGACAATCTGCCTTTTTCCAGTTGAGAATCATGGCCTCAGACTTTGAGGTGCTGATCCTCTTCCATGCTACAGGTCACAGCCTGATGAAGCCAACAGACTCACAGCATCAGCAAAAAGCAAAGATTTAATCCTGAGGTCACTGAATTGGACCCCCTCCACCCCTTGGCTAAACGTAGAGATTCTATCCATAAAGGTTATGAACAGAATCAGTGTCTATGAGTAGCCTTGGGGGAGTCCAACACACACTGGAAATGAGTCTGGCTTACTGCTGGCACTGGGAACCAAACACTTGCTCTCGTTATACAGAGATATAATGACCCATAACAAGGGACCCAACACCCCAGTCTTTCAAAGTGCACCATCATATGCATTTTCAAAGTCCAGAAAACACATGTAGACTTGTTGGACAAACTCTTATAAACCCTCCAGTATCCTTGTGATGGTGAAGACTTGGTTCACTGTTCTGTGATCAGGACGGAATCCAAATTGTTCCTCTTGGATCCAAGGTTCAACCAACGAACAGTCCCTCCTCTCCAATACCTTGGCATAGACTTTTCTGGCGAGGCTGAGGAGTGTGATCCCCTTGATGTTGGAACACATCCTCCGGTCCCCTTTCTTAAAGATTGAGATCACCACTGCAGCCTGATATTCCAAAGGCACTGTCGTCAACCTTCATGCAATGTTGAAGAGGCATGTCAAACAAGACATCTCAACAACATCAAGACCTTTAAGGAACTTGGGGCAGATCTCATCCACTCCTGGAGCCTTACTACCGTAGAGTTTCTTGACTACTTCAGTGACCTCAGCCCTAGTATTGGGTAAGTCCTGATTCTTCCAACTGTACTTCCTCCAAGGAAGGCATATCAGTGGGATTCAGGAGGTCCTCAAAGTACTCCTTCCACTGCCTGACTATATTCCCATTTGAGGTCAATCGACAGTTAGCTTCATCTAAGTGTCCAAGACATGAGGTCGCAGATCCAATGATATGATTACAAAATTGAGTATCGACGTGTGGCCCGTGGTGCTCTGGTGCCAGGGGTACTTATGAACACCCTTATGTTTGAACATGGTGTTCATTATGGACAGACTGTGGTTATCACAGAACTCCAAAGCAGAGCATTGCTTGGGTTCAGATGTCATTACCCATATGAGCATCAAAGTCTCCCAGCAGAACATTGGAGTCCACTGTGGTACAAACACACAGACAACAGTCAGAGCGTCTCCACTCATTTGAAGTTGATGGGAGGCGACCTTCTCATTCACTGGGGTGAACTCCAATGTACTGAAGCCAGACCAGGGGGCTCTAAGAAGACCCAAACTTGCCCAGCCCCTCTCCAGCAGTTTGGTTTCAGAGCCCAAGCTGTGCATTGAGGTGAGCCCGACTATATCTGGGCAGTATCTGTCTACTCCTACACCAGCTCAGGCTCCTTTGATGCTGGTTACATTCCATGTGAGAGGTTACATTCCATGTTCCTAAAACCAGATTTGATAGCCGATGATCAGTCTGTCTAGGCCCCTGCCTTCGACTGTCCCCCAATTTGCACTGCAGGTGCTGGGCCCACAGAATGGCAGACCCGGGTAATTACCTTCACTGACCATCAGCTAAACAATACTGATATTATTAAACTGTGTATAATAACATATTAAACTTCATGTTGTAATGAATCACAGAACCGGACCGATGAACCAGGTTTGATCTTTCCATGCTCGGATAACCTTCTCCAGTCAGCCTCACCATAGTTAATTTCTTTGGTACATTGATACAAACTCGTTTGTCAGGTTTTCCCAGTGCGAGATCAGGTACCAAGCATTTTTTCCTGAGATATAATCTGTTTCGTGATCTCCCATGTATTTTGACCCTTTGCCTACTATTACTGACTTCGATTTCTGGATGCCTTTGTATTTGTCCCAATCATCATCATAATCATAATTCAGAGAATTTGCATGTGAGATTTACCTGGGGTAACATCAACCACATAAAAACTGAGATTCTACACTATATACTGATTTTCTTCTACCAAACATAATTAGCCTTGATGCATCATCTAAACATGGGATTTGAATGTTGTTTTTTCCCCTAAAACAAAATTTTACTAACACTCACTGCATAAATATTCAGTCTGTTATCTACAGACAGGCCCCATGTTACAGTCTGCAGAACTGCAGAAGCCATGCATTGTTTTCACAACCATCACAAAGTAGTGTGTGCATTTCTTATTATGAATGATTGTATTTAACCCAAATTTTTAATATAACAGGCTTTATGGCAGACCGTTTTAAGTTGTCTGCAAGTCAGAGATTCTTAACTTGGGGACTGCCTGTATGTATTTTGTATAATGTCCTATAGTGATAACATGATGATGTTTTGGTCGCCAACAGATCGCAAATATGACGATGGTCCCATAAGATAACAATGGAGCTGAAAATTCCTAGTGATGTCATAGCCGTGATAACGTTATAGCGCAATGCATTCGTTACTCACGTTTGTGATGATGCAGGTGTAAATAAACCAACAAATCCAATACGTCATAATGATAATAAACAACTATGTTACTGGGTTATTCATGTACTATATTGTACGTTTTATTCATTATACAGTATATAGCCTTGGTGATAGCCTAACGGTGGCAACGGTGGCCTAATGGTTAGGGATGTGCCCTTGGTTTTAATCCCCAACTGGCAAAGTACCATTGACTTATCCTGAGCAAGGTACTGCTCCCTTGGTGCTGAATTAGCTGCCCCCTGAAATGTCACAATGTGACATATGGGTTAAATGCAGAGGACAGATTTTGATGCTGTGCTCTGTGTGCTGTGGTGTATCAACAATGACGATTAATCACTTTCCCTTTCCCTATCCCTTGGTGTGTAGCCAGCGATACCATCTAGGATTGTGTGAGTACATTGTATGACAAAATCGCCTAATGATGCATTCAGAGGAACATATCTCTGTCGTCAAGCAACGCATGACTGTTTTTTACTTACACATTCCAAATTCAGTGTCCGGTTTGCCCAGTCTGCTCTTCTCAGTTTGGCCTCAGTCCAAAACCACACCTACTGCAGCCGGGGATTCAGCACGTTTCTCCCACTTTCACACACAGATGAATATAGAAAAAACAAACTGAATCCTATCAGTCTTCGTGTTATAATGGCAGGAGCCAGTGTTGCAGTGGATCAGAACCTATTCAGCTGTCCAATCTGTTTGGATCTGCTGAAGTATCCAGTGACTATTAACTGTGGGCACAGTTACTGTATGAGCTGCATTAAGAGCTGCTGGGATCAGGAGGATCATGCTGGAGTTTACAGATGCCCCCAGTGCAGACAGACCTTCACACCCAGACCTGTTCTGGGCAGAAACACCATACTGGCTGAAGTGGTGGATAAACTGAAGACTGGACTACAAGCAGCTACTCCTGCTGACCATTATGCTGGACCTGGAGATGTGGAGTGTGACGTCTGCACTGGGAGAAAACACAAAGCTGTCAAGTCCTGCCTGGTGTGTCTGGAATCTTACTGTGAAACTCACCTCCAGCCTCACTATGAGTCTCCAGCTTTTAAGAAGCACAAGCTGACTGATGCCACTGGACGTCTGCAGGACAAGGTCTGTTCACACCATGACAAACCCCTGGAGGTCTACTGCCGTACCGACCAGCAGTGTATCTGTTATCTCTGTACCATGGACAAACACAGAGGCCATCATACAGTCTCAGCTGCTGTTGGGATGGCAGAGATACAGGTCAGACCAGAAAGTTTTATAAATTATATGGTATTTTTTTAAAAGAAGTATACATTAATGTCTTCTCACTTGTTGAGTGTTAGTTTATTTGCTTTGAAGACACAGAAATTTAACCTGGTCGGATTAAAGAAAAATGCATAGAAAACAAGTTGCTAAGAATTTGAAACAATAGCATTTTGCGATTTTTTTCTCCACACAGACGAAGTCTGGTTATGGAAAGTCAAAGGAATACGTTTCTGAAAATGTCATACAATTGACTAAGGAGAAATCTGCGATAAAAGCATTTTGTGCCCCCCCCCACCCCTCTGTAGAGACAAATGGATGAAACACAGAGAGAATTTCAGCAGATAATCCAGATGAGCGAGAAGGAGCTGCAGGAGCTGAGAGAGGCTGTGGGATCCATCACAGTGAGTATGAACCTGAGGAGAAGATAACAGCTGCCTAGTAAGATTCATTGGAGGCTTGAATGGAGGTTCTTCCATAGATGAGTGATTTGAGTACTACAGGGTCCTATATAGCATCTGCTGCAAAGCAACACCAGGCGGGATGCGAGTGTCCCTGCCAGCGTGATTCTCTCCCCGTCCAGCAAGATGCTAAGGTCCTTCTAAAAGTTCAAAAATAGATGTAAAAACCAAATTAGGCATAGTGATCTGTTTTTCTTTTATTTGGTGAAATGTTTCATGTAATTTTCTATTCACTCACAAACATAAATAAGCTTAGAAAATCGAGCAATACTTATTCATTCTTGTTCTGCTCCTGCAAACATATCAGTCACTTCCCGCCCGCTTTCACTTTGGGCACAGGCAGATCCCTGTCCTCCACAGAAATATATTCTTTCCTACTACTGGCAAATCCGCCATTTTAAAAGCAATCCACCAAGGTGCAAGCACACCTGGCTCTTAAAAGAAATGTGAGATGACACCCTGATTGGTTAATTGCATGTTCTGACCCAAACACATGACCAATTAACTAATCATGAGACTAAGTACAACCCTTTAGACCTTTTATATAAATATAAAAGCTCAAAAAAGCCTCAAAAGCTGACGAAGATAAATGAGTTTTAAGATGAGATTTAAAATTTTAGACTGTAGGGGCAGATCCGATGGCGAGTGGAAGACTATTCCACAGCCTAGGTGCAGCAACTGAGGATGCCATGGAATAAACACCTTTATCTATATCTGTGTAACTTTTTAAAACATTTTAAACTGAGACCCAATGGTAACAACCAACCTGCCCCATACAGCCACCAGTCCCTGCCAAATCCCTGCAGCTGACAGTGTATGAGCTTAATGAGGGATCATTTCCAATCAGTGCTGGCTGGGTTTCAGTACCTGAGGCATCCAGCATCGTGACGCTCCAAACCCCAGCCCTGTGCTGTTTTTATACCTCCTGTCAGCTCACATCACTATTGTACAATGAGGCTCTTTGGGGTCTCAAAAGGGGCCAATTGTAATTTACTGTCCTCTGCTCCCTGTGTCACCAACAGAGATCAGCACAGTCAGCAGTGGAGGACAGTGAGAGGATCTTCACTGAGATGATCCGCTCCATTGAGAGAAGATGCTCTGAGGTGATACAGCTGATCAGAGATCAGGAGAAGGCTGTAGTGAGTCAGGCTGAAGGAGACATGGAGAGACTGAAGCAGGAGATTAATGAACTGAAGAGGAGACACTCTGAGCTGGAGCAGCTTTCACACACAGAGGATCACAGACATTTCCTCCAGGTAACAGAACAGCTACTTTAACAATAAGAAAACCAGAGTATTCAAATGGATGTCTATGTTCATTTATATTTATTCAACTTCTTTTTCATTTGCCAGAAATTAATGTTTCTTTTAATTTGGTTACAGTGCACATTTGTTTGTATTAAGCTGTTTAATCAGATTGTATATCTGTAGAGGTTCCTGTGTCTTCCTGTCCTCTGTGAAGCTGGTTTTGGACTCAAAATCTCTGTCAATTCATGCTTTTATTTTGGGAATGTGAAGAATGTGGCTTCTGATCTGAAGGATCAACTGGAGAATGTTTGTGAAACAACACCAGCAGAGATCAAAGATGCAGGTTAATAATGAAACACATTTTTAAAGTTCATTCATAATAATATAGGTTTTGCATAGAAAGTATGTAACAAATATCACTCCCACTTTTGCCTGAGCAAGAGAACTTCGTTTTTTCTATATGTAAAAAAAGTTTGTTCGTGTTAAAATATATTATGGGGAGAGAGTATGTATAATAGTCAGTCTTCTATCTGTGCGATCAAGGCAAATTCAGCTCTTCTCTAACAGTAATTCTTGGTGAAGACACTGAATCAGCTCAAAATTGAACTGCAAAATCCAAATCATACAAATCCCATATCTTTTAAATAATACAATCCACATAATAATAATCAGGGGTTGGAAAAGTACTCGATATTCATACATAAGCAAAAGTACAAATACGACACCACAACATTATGCAAAAAATAGTCATCCAGGTACTACTCAAGTAAAAGTAAAAAAAATACCTAGTTTTAAAAGTACTTAAGAAAAAAGTACTACATTCAAATCTATTTATCTTGCAAAAAGCAACATGTCCTTTTAAATTCACTCAAGAGGTCCGAATACAGCAAGTTATAGTGAATCACATAAAGGAAAACTGAGTCACATGTTTTCTTTTTGTTCAGAAAAGCGGTGAAACTTGCCGAGCTTGCTGATGCAGATTAGCTAAATGGCGTTTTTATTATACGGAAAACGAAAGAGGAATCTACGGGCCAGATTTATTAATGAGCTGCAAACATTTCACAGGCTGGTACTGAAACCTCGTTAAATGGTGAATGAGCCATATTAAAACCTCATCCTCCACCAAACTAGCTGATCATTCAGTACAATCATCAGCATTTTCTCAACATTAGCTCTAATGCTGCAAATATTATATTGATAAAATTTACATACCAGACAGCAACTCTAGTAGGTTACCTGATAGGCCTACTGTATATTGTGCATCTCTGCATATTGTTTTTTCCTTGGTCATAAAGAGAATATGTAATGCAAAATAATAATAATAATAATAATAATAATAATAATAATAATAATAATAATAAAGAATTATATTGCAAAAGGATCTTGAGAGAAAATCGCAAAACCAGTGAAAAATATTTTGATTCATATTTTATTCAGAACCATGCAGGCCAGCT